CCATATCTATCAGCAAAACAATTCTCCAGAAAACAGACATCTGTTCACTATCGCCAGAAACCATTGTAAAAAGGTTTTGTCTGACGCCAAAGCTCGCTATTCCCAGGTCATTAAATCTCGTATCTCATCACAAAAATTAGGCTCTCGAGACTTCTGGAGAATCTTTAACAGTATCAATAATAAGGGCAAATCTGTTATTCCTTCTCTCTTGTATGGTTCAGACTTTGTCACCTCACCTAAAGACAAAGCTGAATTGTTTGCTAAGAACTTTTCATCAATATCATCTCTTGATTCCACTAGTTGCGTTTTACCTGACATAGCCGTCAAACAGGTTGATCCCTTGCTTGACATTCGCATCACTTCAGCTTCTGTATCTAAAGTAATTTCTTGCTTAGACTCTTCAACAGCTTGTGGTCCTGACAACATTCCTGTTGTAGTTTTGCAGAGGTGTTCTCCGGAGCTTTCATCCATACTTTCTAAACTATTTAACAAGTGCTTATCAGAGTCTTGTTTTCCATCATGCTGGAAAGCAGCATCTGTTATCCCTATTTTCAAAAATTCCGGAGAGCGATCTGATTCATCTAACTACCGTCCCATTAGTCTTCTTCCTGTCATAAGCAAGGTTTTTGAATCTTTAATCAACAAACACTTAATCTCTCATCTTGAATCAAATAACTTACTTTCTGATCATCAATATGGATTTCGGTCTTCTAGTTCTACAGCTGATGTGCTAACAGTAATAACCGATAGGTTTTACCGTGCATTAGATAGAGGTGGAGAGGTTAAGGCTATCGCACTTGACATTTCTAAAGCTTTTGATAAAGTTTGGCATGCTGGTCTTCTCCATAAGCTTTCTTCTTATGGTGTAGCTGGTAACGTCTTTAAGATTATTGAGTCCTTTCTTTCCAATCGTAGTATAAAAGTTGTCCTCGATGGACAACACTCTTCTTCACATCCTGTAACTTCAGGGGTTCCTCAAGGTTCAATCCTTGGCCCTATACTCTTTTTAATTTACATTAACGATCTTCCAGATATTCTCACATCTAAGGTGGCATTATTCGCTGACGACACTACCATTTACTCTTGTCATGATAAGAAGCCTACACTCTCTGATTGCTTGGAGGGGGTATCTGAGCTTGAAAAGGATCTCACTTCTGCTACAGCATGGGGCTCACAGTGGCTGGTGAACTTTAATTCAGATAAAACTCAATTTTATTCGGCCAATCGTTATCGTAATAATTTAGATCTTCCTATATTTATGAATGGTAATGTACTAGATGAGTCATCTACCATTCATCTTCTAGGATTAACTCTTACTTCTGATCTTTCTTTTAAACCGTATATCAAATCCATTGCAAAATTAGCATCTGCTAAGGTTGCATCTCTTTATCGAGCTCGACACTTTCTTACTCCAGATTCTATTCTCTATCTCTATAAATCTCAAATCCGTCCCTGTATGGAATACTGTTGCCACATCTGGGGCGGATCTTCTAATGATGCTCTTTCTCTTTTAGACAAGGTGCAAAAACGAATTGTAAACATAGTTGGACCTGCTCTTGCAGCCAATCTCCAACCTTTGTCACATCGTCGTAATGTTGCTTCCCTTTCTCTTTTCTACAAATATTATAATGGGCACTGCTCTAAAGAGCTAGCGTCCCTTGTGCCATCTACTAAAATTCACTCTCGTGTTACTCGCCATTCAATTAAGTCTCATCCTTTTTCTGTGACTGTTCCTAAGTGCTTCAAAAACTCTTATTCTTCTAGTTTTTTTCCTCGAACATCAGTTCTTTGGAATTCGCTTCCTTCATCTTGCTTTCCTGATTCATATAATTTGCAATCTTTTAAGTCATCAGTCAATCGTTATCTTGCTCTACAGATTTAGTCTTTTCTCTTCCAGTAACTTCCAACTCTTATAGTGGTTGCTTGCAGCCTTGTTGGAAGTGAAGATGTTAAAAAAAAAAAAAAAAAAAAAAAAAAATATATATATATATATATATATATATATATATATATATATATATATATATATATATATATATATATATATATATATATATATATATATATATATATATATATATATATATATATATATATATATATATATATATATATAGTATTTATATAATATATTAGATATAACATTTTATTTATAACATTTGTAGATAGAACAAGATAATACTGAGGGGACAAAATGTCATCTATCGTAACTTTAAAAACCAAAGCAACTATAAAAACGATTCGTAATAAAGTTTGGTTGTAAAGTAAAACAGCGGAAAAAAAAATGAAATTAAGGAAATTTATATTATTATTACAAAAACACAACAAGCATCAAGTATTAAAATATCTTTAAAAATTTAAAAACTTGATAAATAAAATTTAAACAAGTGATATCCGAAACTCTTGCAGTATTTAAAAAGTATACTTATCGCATTTATTTGCAAATGTTATACAGAGAACACTAAATAATTTCGGCGTCCATAAATTAGCGACGTCAACAAATTACGACTGTATTCAATTCTTTATTATTCTTTGTAGTAATTTGACGGTTATTTAAAAACAAGATTAGGCTTTTTTGATATACCGAATGTTTAAATTGATTTTTGTATAATAGGATAAATGGGGCACTAAAATAAAGTTTTGCATAGTATTATATTTTTTAGTGATTTGTTGAGAAATGTTTGGAAAAAAGTTTTTTATATGTTTTTTTATTTTTAATTTGTTTTATGAAATTTCCCAACCGCGTAAAAAAAAAAATGATCTAAAGAAAGATATGGAAAGGTTGGACGAAAATCACCGTGTTGAGGAAATAGAATCATCAAGTGAAGAAAACCATGATTTTTTGAATCATCAAGTGAAGAAAAACTGATTTTTTTAAAAATATTTTTCTACCACATGTATATCAACAGGCGATTTGATTTGTAATATTTTTCTACCACATGTAGATCAACAGGCGATTTGATTTGTAATATTTTTCTACCACATGTAGACCAACAGACAATTTGATTTGCAATAATTTTCTACCACATGTAGATTAACAGGCGATTTGATTTGTAATATTTTTCTAACACATGTAGATCAACAGGCAATTTGATTTGTAATATTTTTCTACCACATGTAGACCAACAGACAATTTGATTTGTAATAATTTTCTACGACATGTAGATCTGCCATTTGATTTGTAATAATTTTTGAACTAGTTTATTAGATTAAGCTCTTTAAAATCACAAAAAATTTCAATCTTAAAACAAAAATATCAACTTTAGCCCGCCATTTTGGAAAAAGTTAAGATGCCAGAATTTAAATTTTTTGTTTTTTTATATATATTCATAGCAACTTGCTACCTTAAAATAATTGAAGTGTATAACCAACTTGTTCAAAAGTTATTAGATGCTAAAAATGATGCAAAAAACCTTTTTTCTTGTAGACTGAAATTTCATTCAACATAGCCCATTACTTAAATAGCATTTTCTCAAGAGCCATATTAGGTATTGATCTAAAATTTTCAAAACATGCTTTTCTCATATATATGTACAAAATCAAAAAGTTTCAATAAAATCTGAGATAGTCCATAATAAACCTCATAAAAATTTGCTCCACTTGGCATGCGATGACCCTATGATATAAAGTATTTTTGAATTCTGGGAAAATGCAAGTTGTTTTTATTTTACCAATGAGAGCTAAACTGTGCATCTAATTTTACCAAAAATGCTAAATACTGCTAAAAACTACCAAGAATGCAGGAAAACTGTTTGTTTTCTTTGTTTCAGTTAATGTCAACGAGAGCTAACATCTAACCTAAAAGAAAGATATCAGATTATACTGAAAGAGAAAATGGACTTTAATGGTGTCAATTTTCCACAAGGAATTTGTGAAAAATGTCGCTCTTGTTTGAGAAGAAAAGTGGAAAAGACATCATACTACCATCATTGTATAAGTTTGAGACTATAAAATTTTGACCAGAAACTCGCAACTCTCACTGTGACTGTTTGATCTGTTCAATCGGAAAACTAAAAAACAATGGTCAAATGAAAATTGAATTCACACAAGTTTAGCAGCTAGAACGCCTTCAACAGTAGTACTTTGACAAATATTATTTTTGCTGTTGCTGCAAATTGCTAACGAACTGATAGAGGAGGTGGGTTCCTAAAGGTTAGCCTGGGAATTATTGAATTACATCATTAGCCTAGCATTCTCCCAGCAAAACTTAACTGGACAACCAAGGTTTTTAAAGACACTGGTAAAAACTCTATTAAAACACTATTGATGTCTCTAAGAAGCTGCAAGAAAATTATACTAACACTTTGCAAGTATTTGAGCTGATTAATTTGAAAGACCAGAAATTTGTTCTGTTCTGAAATTGCCCTAATCTGAAACTTGCAAATATCATTTGTGGGCTTCAAGCACATTTAAGTGCACATCCCTACATCTGATATGAATCTGGTTCAAAGGAACTTGTAAATTAGGGGAAAATGAAGACTTTTGAATTTCTGGAAAAAAATGTCTCACTCTCCAAAACAGTAGTTTTTGAAAACAGTTTTTTTGTAAATATATTTCATGTCTGTTTCTTGTATAGATTATATCATTTTATTTTCCTTGTTTATATTAATGTAAACTTGTGATTTTTACTACTAAAATAAGCTGTCATTTTGCATGTTCATACAATCAATAAAATATGAAAATTCAAATGTAATTAACTTGCCAGGACATTGTACTCTGACTTTGATACTTATAACTAAGTGATCCTTGTAGTTGTCATTCCACCACTGGGTTTCTTTGTGTCAGAAAATTAAGGTTGAAGCCTGTTTTATAACACTGTGCACATTTTAGTATACCTACTCTCACTTAATAATGCATGCAATCTAATGCAATAATGCATGCAATCTAATGCAAAAACTGTGTTACTCTAATGCATACTAAAGAGCAAACAAAATATACTTTTTTGTAATAATTAAAACATATATTAATAAAAATTTAATTAAAACACATAAACAACTTACAATGTTTGGAGGAAGTTTTATACCAGGAAGATATTTAATATTTTCATGATCTGTGTTTATGACATCTGACAACTTCCTGTCACCAACCATCTCCTCATAAACGTACATATTTACTCGTTGTTCAAAATGAGTTGATTTCAATACATTATTTCCAATTATTTTTGCAATAGCAGACCCCCTAAAATAACAATTACCCCTAGCTATTATTGAAAAATAAAAAAATTTATTTTACTTCAATTATCATAAAAGCAGACCCCCTAAAAGCATAGTACATTGTGTAAACTTTCCAACAATCTAGCAGATTAGAAATTTTTTATTTTATGTTTATCAATATTCAAAACATTACAATGTAAAAAAAATCTGAAAATAAGTTTTTTAATCTAGTTTAAAAAATGCAAATAGTCAAAATGCAAAGAAAAAGAAAAATTATTAAAATTAGGAAACCAAGATTATTAAAGAAGATTAATCAAAACAATAAAAATCTCAAGAATATAAAACAAAAAATAAAATCAAAAAAAAAAAAAACAAAAAAAAAAAACCAAACAAAAAAATAGCAAATCATTATCAAAGCATGTACAAACATGTTTACCAATAAAATAACAATGTACAAATTTTGTTTACCAGTTTCCAGAACCAACAATGCTAACTTTTCGCATAACTTGAGAAGCCATTTTATTTGCTCTTATCTAAGGTTTACATAAAATTCAAATCTGTAATTTGCATACTACGCAATTCCATCAACTCTTTAATTATAAGTAATTATATTTAAAAAATCAAAACTAAATTATTTGAAAAAAAAAAATAATATCAAGAAAAGTTTATTTCACTGCTGTACTAAATACTAAAAAAAAAAAGACAGATATAGAACAAAATGCAATATCATTACTGAAGTACTCTGACTTATATAATTAATAATAATTAATATAGTCATTAATACCATAACTTTTGTATTGAAAATCTTATATCGCTAAAAGATGCTTTTAAACTTTTATGATGTTGTGCTTATAAAATACTATGCTACTATTTTAATAATATGATAAATCTGTATATATTTATATATTATTATTATAATTATTATTATTATTATTATTATTATTATTATTATTATTATTATTATTATTGATGTATTTAATTCAAACAACATGTACATATAAATAGGCACAAGATCCATAAATAAAAATAAATAAAATAATAGTCAATAAAAAGAACAGATACAGTCATTAACCCTTATCCATCATTTGGACAGTTCTAATATTCTGTTTATATATATATATATATATATATATATATATATATATATATATATATATATATATATATATATATATATATATATATATATATATATATACATATATATATATATATATTTATATATATATGTGTGTGTGTAAATATATATATATATATATATATATATATATATATATATATATATATATATATATATATATATATATATATATATATACACACACACACAAGTGCTTGAAGTGAGGCAGGATGCCATCCTGTCACTTTTTATAAAGTATAAACTATAATGTCACCTTTTTATAAATCTCTATACACTATTGATTAGGTGGGATGATATTTTTAAGTTACTGAAAATCATACTGTTACTTTTTTTTCTCCACTTCAAGCTTTGTGTGTGTATATATATACATATATATATATATATATATATATATATATATATATATATATATATATATATATATATATATATATATATATATATATATATATATATATATATATATATATATAAGCCAGCGCTTTTATGCTTAAGCCCACACGCATAAAACTTTGTCGAGAGCATAAAAAAGCGCTTGCCTAAAAAATAAAAGAAACTTTTGCTAAATATATATTTTGTTCATCAAATACTTTAATTTTTTTATTGAAACAAATGAAATGCATAATCATCACACCAGGAATACAGAAATTAGTAAGCAATACTCTTCTTTTTTTCAACACAATTAAATATGGTTAACTTTCTTTAAAACACCAATGCATTTCCCAATGGAACCAGTGTATTCCTGCATTAATAAAAAAGTCTAAAAAAAAAATCCCCTTGTTATGGATTGTTTACTGCTCAACAGAATTTAGTTTAAAAATATATTGTTGGAGTGTATTTCTTTATAATTTCTCTCTGTACTGTAGTTGTATTTTATATATAATTTCTTTAACGAATCAAGTGGTTTGATTTTTGCTTTATTTATTATTTATCTATATTATATTTATTTATTGTGTTATTATCGCTACATTTTATGTTATTATTATATTTAATTATAATCTATGATATGTACATACAATTTATATTGTATTATAATTATTCTTAATATTATTGATATTTTATTATTATTGTTATTATTTTGTATTATTACTATGACTATTATATATATCATTATTATTTGTTTAACAAACTTTTTCTTTTTTTATCTCTTATTTATATTATTTATTTTTTAGGTGCTACTCCATTGACTAGTTTGTAACTATATGAGTTATACCTAACCAAATTCTACTAATTTACGATGAGCATTTGTAAATTTTTGTTGATATGGTTGAATTAGAAAAAAAAAAAAAAACTTTTATGAAAAATCATGAAAACACCTTTATGTATGAATTATTTTATTTAGAATTTAAATAAAATGTTTGTTTTACCCTCTTTTTTTTTTTAATCTTATTTTGAATTTAAATAAAACATTCATTTTGCCATTCTTTATGTAATGTATCTTATAAAATTTGAAAAAAAATATTTTTTTTTGCTGGTTTTTAATATTATTTTATCTAGAACATATTTTTAACATTCATTTTGCCAGGTTCTTTTAATAATTTCATTTACAATTTATATACAATGTTAGTCTTGCCATTTTTAATTTAATTATTTTGTTAAATACTTATAAAATACATTTTTTATTATAAATTTTTTTATTGTTTTTTTTTTTAGTTATTTTAACTAGAATTCAAATAAAGCGTTCATTTTGCTAAGCTTTTATTTCGCTTTTTCATGTTATGGCATTTGGATGATGTTCGTAACACTTTGGGCAATAATGAACTGCTATGTTTTTTAGAAAATAAATTGGAAGCTTTAATTTTTGAAATTAATGCTCCAATTATTTGTGACTTTAACAGTGAGAAAGTAATATTTAAAGTAAAAGCAGTAATTTGTCAACTTCTTCCAAAAAAGCAAATTATAAATAGACACGGAAATGATAAATGTAAGAAAACTGTAGAAGATTTGCTAAAGACTGTTTAATATATTTATTGCCCAGTTTTAATGCAGTGAGTTTATCTAGATGGCTCCCTGTTGGAATAGAACACATTGATATCAGTGCTTCGCTCCAAGAGATTACTTATCTTTAATCAGAAGTAAAACAATTTTAGAGTTTTTCAAAATGAAATGAAAATTAAATGAACAAAATGAACCACCATGTGTTAAACGAAACCAAATTCAACATGCTCATGGAAATGTAACTAGCAGTGATACTCTCAAAAATGCTGACTATACTCACCTGATAAAAGAATAACCTGTACATAAACAAGTAGAAACAACAGTATGTCAACTATCTTCAGATATTCTTAAAAATTGTACTCAAAAACAATCAATAAAAAAAATTATTTAAAAAAATAATCTCATTTTAGAATCTTCTGATAAGCAACTTAAACCTTTACTGAATTTCTGATAAGCAACTTAAAACTTTACTTAAACCTTTACTTGAGAGTGATCAATATAATGTAAAAGTAATTTTTACAAAATAGATCAATATAAATATATATATATATATATATATATATATATATATATATATATATATATACATATATATATATATATATATATATATATATATATACATATATATATATATATATATATATATATATATATATATATATATATATATATATATATATATATATATATATATATATATATATATATATATATATATATATATATATATATATATAACATAAATTATATCGGTGTAAACTATAATTATATTTAAATAAAAAATAATTTAAAAAAACCTGGCAAATGTTGTCTTCTTTTTTCTTAAATTTTTTTCCTTAACTTGTTTAAATTTTTTTTTAATTTGTTTGTTTTTGCATTTGCTTAGTCAGTTAATGCGATTTTTGTTGAAATTTTTTAAGCTTAATAGAAAATATCCGCGAGATAAACAGTATTACGGGAAATGTAATACGATCGCTTTTTCACAGTGTGGAACGTTTGAATCTTTTTATTAACCTCATATTTTTGTTGATAAGTCGATCGCTTGCGAGCTACTTATCAACAAAACATTTTATTTACAAATAAACACTTCAATAACACTTTATTTACAAAACGCGCGCAATTCGTCACTTTTTTTTTTGCTTGCTCGTTAGGTACCTCGTAAGAGCAAGGTACGAGGTATCTTAGCTCAGTCATCTTAAACGCACTTAAGATGAGTGAACTAAGGTACGAGCAACCGAAAAAAAGTGAAATATTTACCCAGTGCTATAGCATTGGCTACACCACAAACCCCAATTAGAGAGTAGGGGCAACAAATTTAGGGTGCTAATTTTCAAATTTAGGGGCCCTTTATTTTTTTGTAATACCTAGTGGAAAATAGATTTTAAGATTTTTTGTTCCTAATGACAGGTTGTTCTTTTCTTTCTTGAAAGGGAGGAAGGGGTAGGAAAGATGCAGGGGGTCTCCTAGCTCACTAGCCACGGCACTGTGTTTAACCATTTTGTTTCTTTTGCATTTAATGAAAACTGAAAAAAAAAAAGTTTAACCAATAATTCATCAATTTGTTCACTTAATTGTTGGTATTTTTCGTTTAGAAAGGCACTTCATACACGTTACTTAAGATGTACAGTGACTCAGGATGATCAAAAAAGTATGAAAAATATTGTGAATAAACATGTTATATGTAGAGATAAGTCAATTTTAAAAATTGCCAATTCCGATTCTAATTCCATAAATATAAAAAGTTTCATATACTCATAAAACATAAAAATAAATTTAATGAATATTTAGTAATATATTTTTAGTGATAATGAAAATGGTTGTTGCTTTTTATATTTTAAAATCATTAAAAAAAAAATTAAAGCTTGTTGTATTTAACCTAATTGAAATATGATTTTAACGCTTTTTAAGGGCTCAAAAAATAATAATGGTAGTTCGCAATACACAGTTCTATTTGCGCCATATACAATCCTGCAAGCATTTTTTTTAGTTTTCTAAAACTAAATTTGAGTTAAAGATTTTTTCAATTTTGTAATGAAGATTATAAGTGAGAAATTGGATGCTTAAACTTGAAAATTGGAAACTCATACAATTATAGTACAAGTATCAATTAATGGGAGGAAGGTTCATTAAAAATAACAGCCGCGGCGAGTGGTAGCGCATTTGCATCAGAAACGTAAGATCTGTGGTTTAAACCCATCTCTGGGGAAGTTTTGACAACATCGGTTGGGAAAGAGGCATGAACTTCCATTTAATGCTCTTACGCGGTGCTCTGTTATAAGACCGTAGGGACTTCTTGGGACGCCCTAAAAATAATAATAATAAAAAAAGCGTTTTACTAACTTTAATCCAGATGAACTTAAAGTAAAAATTTATAAAGAGAGCAGAAGTAAAGGCAATAGATCAAGGAGTTACTTAAGGTTTAATTATGCAACGTATACAGTATACAACGTATTTGTGTTATTGATTTGCTAGTTATGGTTTTTTTTTTTTTTTTTTTTTTTTTTTTAAGTTTACAATTATTAATCGTAATATAATAATATAACAATATATAAACTTGGTATCTGAAAGAAGATCCAAATGATCTTGTCGCCAGAACCATATAAAAGATATAATACGTGTATATATAATAAAATAAAATATAATTGATCAAATAACTAATAACAATGTAGAAGAAACAAAAACTGAAAATAATTTTACAAATTATCCAGAGTAAAAAAAAAGAATTTTACATTTCAAAAATATTTATATATATTGCCAGTAGAAAGAATATAGTTTTTTAATTTAGTTTTAAAAACGGAAAACGAAATCGACAAATCAAAATTTGGAACAACAATTTTGTTCCATAAATACGGTGCTCTATAGTTTATGCAAAATTGATTAAACTTTGTTTGACAAAAGGGTTCAATTAATAAATTATTATTTCGTAAAGCATATTTCTTTACAGGTTTATAAGTAAAAAGATCTTTGAAATTGGACAATGGTCGTTCACTTTTACAACGAAACATAAAACATAAAATATTATAGACATTGAGTTCGTAAACGTTAAGTGCTTTAACGTTTTTAAATAAAATATTTGAATGAGAAAAACGATTTTCGAAACATATTAAACGCATTGCGTGTTTCTGACGATGGTAAAGACTTCGTAACTTACTTTTAGAGGTACTTCCCCAAACAATATTTGCATAATTTATATAGCTATGAATAAACGAGTAGTAAAGTTGAATTAAATTTTGTTTACTTAGATAGTATCTGACCTTATATAGAATTCCAATACTTTTAGCCAATTTAGTAGAAATATAGTCGATATGATACTTCCATGTAATATTTTCATCAATGTAAATGCCTAAAAATCTTGTGACCGACTCCTTTTTTTATTTCAATTTTATCAATAAAAAGTTTAGGCAATTTATTTGGTAAAAAACGCTTTTTAGCAAGAGAGTGGAAAAGGATCCACTTTGTTTTGTCAATGTTTAAAGTTAACTTGTTGCACTTAAACCAGTTGGAGATCTGATTGAGTTCATTATTCATATTTGAAAAAAGCTCATAAATGCTACTGTTTGACAGAAATAAATTAGTATCGTCCGCAAAATTTATACTCATAAGGTTAGAAGCTTTATTTAAATCATTTATATAAACTAAAAACAAAAGTGGGCCTAGAATAGAACCCTGTGGAACACCACATTTTATGTCAATTAATTTTTCATTTTGAAAATAATCTCCATAGAAAACAAATTGTTTTCTATTTTCCAAGTAACTTTGATACCACTTTATTAATTTGCCATTAATTCCGTAAAATTTGAGTTTTTTAAGTAGAATTTTGTGATCGACCGTGTCGAATGCTTTTGATAGGTCAATGAAAATACCTAATGTATATTGTGATCTACCAAATGAATCGGAGATTTCACGAATGAACTGTGTAATGGCTTGTTCAGTTGAACAATTTTTTTAAAACCGAATTGATTTTTATATAGAAGTTTATTTAGATTAAGGTAATTGTATGTTCTATTGTATATAATTCTTTCTAAAATTTTTGAGAAAGTTGAAAGAACTGAGATGGGGCGATAATTACTAATATTTGATTTTTTTCCGTTTTTGTATATAGGAGTTACTTTAGCTATTTTTAATTGGTCGGGGAATACACCTTGCTGTATAGATGCCCTAAAGACTTTATAAAGAATACACTTTAAGTTTTCAAAGCAATCTATGACTATGTTGCCATTTATTTCGTCCGCACCCGTAGCTTTGTTTCTTTTGAGAGATTTGTAAGCTATCTCAAACTCATCAAAAGATAAGTCAGAATGTAAATTATCTATAAAAAGCGAATTATTTATAGGCTCTAGGAAATCACTAAAATTTTTTTCTGTAATAGGGATCTTGTTTGCCAATTTGGTTCTTATGTCAATGAAACATTTATTAAACTCGTTTGCAATTTCGTTTGTTCCAAAAACCTATCCTAAAATAAAACAACTACTAGATATTCTTCAGCTATAAATCGACCATCTATTATTTATAGCGAAAAACTGTTTCAGTATTTTATAGTGTACACATTTATTACAAGAAAAAACCTTTTTATTTAAAAAAATACATATTCATTAACATAAAAAAATAAAAAAATCTCAATATAAAACATGTTTTAGTATTTTTTTATCAACTCCTCAAACTTTTTAAAACAGTCTCTATTCTTTTGGCATGGTTGCGGTATTGAGGCAACAAGAGACAATACACGGACGTTATTTTATGACACTTCGCTTTTATTATGGTTTTTCGCAGACCTGTTGGTAAAGTAAGATTCTGCTTTCAATCTGCAGTTTTTGATAGAGTTTTTTCCCTCGTTGCCAGACCATTCACCTAATTTGGCCAATTATTAAAAAATTTTGAAAAACAATTTTAATTAGTTAAAAACATTGTTTCTAAATATAATTGATATAATAACTAGTCTCATGGATGATGGGGTGCAATAACTAGTCTCATGGATGATGGGGTGCAAGAACTTTGATGAAAGGTATTGCACCCCAAATTATAATGATTTAATATTGCTTAACAGAAGGTACAACATTTCGAGTATTGGAGTCGTAAATTTGGTAACCGGGAGACATTAACTTTGCATACTACAAACTGGTTATCTTGAAAACATGTGACGCTGTTACATTTTAACAGTTTAATTCTTGAATTATTTTTTTTTGCAAAACTCGAGGAAACCCTGAATATCCTTTTGCGATAGACATCCCATGTACTTTTCAAAATGAAATAAAAAATTGAAAATGAAGATTCTTTAAATATGGTGCATACTGCCTTAAAAATGCATCAGTAGTATTAGTAGTATTAGTATTATTATTATTGTTATTATTGCTATTATTATTATAATAATAATTATAATTATTATAATAATAATTATAATTGTTATTATAATTATTATTATTATTGTTATTATTGCTATTATTATTATTATTATTATTATTATTATTATTATTATTATTATTATTATTATTATTATTAGTAGTAGTAGTAGTAGCAGTAGTAGTAGTAGTAGTAGTAGTAGCAGTAGTAGTAGTAGTAGTAGTAGTAGTAGTAGTAGTAGTAGTAGTAGTAGTAGTAGTAGTAGTAGTAGTAGTAGTAGTAATAGTAGTAGTAGTAGTAGTAGTAGTAGTAGTAGTAGTAGTAGTAGTAGTAGTAGTAGTAGTAGTAGTAGCAGTAGTAGTAGTAGTAGTAGTAGCAGTAGTAGTAGTAGTAGTAGTAGTAGTAGTAGTAGTAGTAGTAGTAGTAGTAGTAGTAGTAGTAGTAGTAGTAATAGTAGTAGTAGTAGTAGTAGTAGTAGTAGTAGTAGTAGTAGTAGTAGTAGTAGTAGTAGTAGTAGTAGTAGTAGTAGTAGTAGTAGTAGTAGTAGCAGTAGTAGTATATTTACTACAAGGAGGCAACTGCCGTAACAGAGTATGAATGCATGCTTTTATTATTATGCAATAGGTATTTTTAAATTTTGCATAATTTATGCAATAGGTAATTTTTATTTTTATTTTAATGAATTCTTACAAGATTTGCCGAAGTTTGAGGTTGTAAATTTTAACTGCGGTCTGATAGACACTGTGTATAATTTTTTCTATGGTTTGTTGTTTATACTAATATATGATATTTTCATCAACCCAAAAATGTTATTAGCTGTTAATGCAATTTTAGAAGCGTGCGTATCCAACTTTCAAATAAATAAAACAACATTGGTCTACACAAACATGGAAAAGGATTTAGGAGTGTACATTTCAGATGATTTGGAATGGAAACACCACTTCAATATAGCGAATCGCACACACTTTTAAATATTTAGATGAAAAAATGACGAATCTCTTGTTTATAGTTTTTAGTACATACACATTTGGAACTCGCAGCTTCCATCTGGAATCCTTATCAGCAGAATGATAAAGATAAGTTGGAGTCTCCAACAAAGAGCATCTAGAATTAAAAGTTTAAACGGATACAGTTATGAAAAGAGAATTAAAAAGTTGAGTTTATGAGAGTTGGAGAACAGAAGGGGTGAACAAATAATTGATATCATAAATCTTAAACACAAAATTTAGGATGATAACATAAATCTTGAACAAAAACCTGAAATGCTAGATAACGGCTATAAGCCTAGAGGTCACAATAGCCAACTTAGAAGGCAAAATAAAATATTTTTTAAGCAACAGTGTGGTACCGTCATACGGGGCTACTTGGACCCAAATTCGATACATGTTTGATGTTTGTGTTTCTCTCTCATATTTATGTCAATTTTAAAAAAAACTTATTGTTGCTAATTCATGGACTTATGAATGATGATTGTAGAGAAAAAATATTTGAGCGGACTTTGGTCCCCTTTTTTTTGGGGAGATAAGGTTGGGTTCAAGTAGCCCCTGTTGTGGGACTACTGGAACCCATAGTTTAAAAAGTATGTTTTTTCAGTTTTTTTTGAAGTCACAAAAATACTATACAAAGAAAAATTAATACTGCAAATAATGTTAAAGTACAGTAAGATCTGGTATACTGTTGTCCAGCATACTTAGTAATATCTATGGCACCGAAAAGTTCTTCCGTACTACGCTTACAATACGACGAGGATATAAATTTTTATCATAATCTACTAGCACATACTCATCAACACTATGTTTTATCTTTTCCGTGTTGTCCAAATCTTAACTTTCGCTTATGTTGTCATTTGCAGATAAATTCTCATAGCTACTACTTTTTCTGCTACTTTTAATACCATTGTCTTCAACCAAGTTGGTATCTGAACTGTCATCATTTTGGTCTGTAGTTAAATTTTGAGCAACTCTTTTATTTTTACCTCTTCGAGTAGCACTGTTAGTTGTTCTTGGCGAATCTGTTTTAATGACATCTTCTGACCCTATACTCTTTCCTGCTGGAACATTCAACTTTCTTCTCACACGCTTCGTAGTTGGAATATCAGCATTTCTTGATCTTCTCAAAAAGTCAAGAAATGATTGATTGATATTCTTATTTGATGTCCTTGAAGAAACAATCATTTGTGGAAAAGTTTTTAGTACTTCTTGTCGATTGCGGGGATATATCCCTGTCTTTCTGAAACCAGACATTAAATTTTCTGCACAATTTGTTTGAATGGATTTATGAAGGCGACTTAATAGAGAAGGGAAAGTGTCTTTACTAAGCGTGGTTGCACCTTTTCCTGGACCCGCTTTCCATTCTGATAATATTTTTCTCCACGCAATCTTCATTGACCTGAAAAAGGCCTCATCTAGTGGTTGTGTAAGATGTGTTGAATTTGGTGGCAACCCAATAAAACGAACATCGTTGTCTTCACAAAGTTTTAAAATATTGACATTAATGTGACTACTGAGATTATCACTTATGACAACTTTACGCCCAGATTGCCTTTTTAGCCTTGGTAGTAGCAAACTAGCAAACCAATCTTCAAATGAGTCATTCTCGAACCACCCACTTTTAGAGCGATTATACCTTGTGCCAGGAGGGCCACCTTCAGTCCATGTGACTGGGCTTTGTAGACCACATAAGGAGCTAGCAAATTTCCAGCTGCATTACATAAGCGAAATTGCTGTACATTTCCAGCTGCAGTACATAAGCGAAATTGCTGATTTGGAACTATTGATAATTCTTTTAGGGTATTCAACTTCTTTTTCCAGGATGTATTTTTTTTCAGGGTCATCTGTTAAATTAGTCTCGTCAAAATTTCAAATGTTTTCTGCTGGTACACTTTCTGTTTCATTATCTAGATTATCAAAGTATTCTGTGACTGTTTGTTGTGTTATTGCAGCCCTGACCTTTTTGAGGTTTCCGGCAAATCTCTCGGAAAGCTGATGATGTCTTCTAATAAAGGCTTTTACCCATTCAACACCTGGGAGATTTTCACTCAAACACCGTGCATCACTCCCTAATCGATCTAGATGGGATTTCACAATAATTCGAAGATTAAATGAGGTCAGTGGGTAGCCAAAAGTTGACACTTTATCCAAATGATCATAAAATGATTGTTCTTCTTCAGGCGTGAAGACAGCTGGATGCCCTGCATGTTTCTTTGTTATAGTAAGACGTCGTCTTCTAAGAGCTCTATTAATGCTGGAATGGCTGATTCTAAAATGCTCTTCAGCAAATCTTTGACTCATAGCTCCACGTTCAATATTAATACAGGCTTGCTTGCTAAGTTTGATCGGTATAGTCTTTGTAAACTCTAGATCCCAATTTTCTTTTATATCTGCGAAACATTCTGGTAGAACAAATTATGATAGCACGAAGTATACGCACAAAGGTATATAACAATAGCTTTAACCAACCATTAACATTATTTAGGTATACATTTTATAACCTAAAAAATATTAAAAACATGGTTAAAATAACAAAAATATCAACTCCTTATAAATATATTATTATACTTTAAGGTTTAACGTTAATGGGAACAAATTTAATCATTTTCAAACATGAACTGCTACAAAGACATTTGGGTTCAGATAGCCCCAATTTTGAACTTCAAACATAAATACAAATTTTTTTATCAAAACAATGAGAATAAAATAGAATTATAATTGCTATATTTTCTAGCAACTGATACTTCATTTAAGAAATGTTGTCAAAAAAAATTTATCTTTTTGGTTATGTCTGGACAGACAAAAGTTTTACACTAACTTTTTACCATTATTGTAGTTTCCTTTGAATAAATATTTTTTTGATCACTTCTTGCAAAAAAACTAAACTCTTTATTTTTTTTTTATATTACTTGATTTGAGTAAGTGTATAATTAACTTATTAAATTTCATACCAAATAGTTCTATAAAAAATAAACAAACATTTTATTTTTTTGTGTTCAAGTAACCCCGGGTAACTCCATTAGCCCCGCATGACGGTAAGCGACTAAAGCAATCTTAAACAAGAAAAAATACTCGCAGTCTGTATCAACCAATTCAAAAACAAATTAGATAAACATTGCAAATAACAACTTTTATGTTTGGACTCGTCACTCTTGAAGCGTACAGCTATTATATTGTATTAAGTTATTAAGGTGGGGGAAAAAACTAAAAAATAATCTCTTACAAAACTATTACAAATCAAAATAATTTTTTTTACAAACTATATAACAGTTATCGCTGAACACAAAAGAAAGTACACAAATTATATTACAAAAAAACCAAGATTTGTAGCAAACACTTGGTTTAGATTGAATTAAAAAAAACTCAAAAACAAATAATCTCGATAAAACTATTTTGAAACTTTGATAAAATCAATTAACGCTATTTTTTCAAACGGGTATCAAATAAATCAAACATAAAAAAGTACAAGTCCATTCCACGTTCTTGCTGAGTCACAATTTTATTAATTACATATTTAAAATGGTCAAGTCTTTGGTAAGCAAATTATTTAACAAGTAAGCAAAAATAAGGGTGTCCTACTAAATATCACGTTGAGACAAAACCATTTCAAAAGTGTGAGAAATATGTTTAAAAAAAACAATACCACTTTTAAATCAATATTGAATTTAATTTGAAATTCATAGAACATAAAAATTCAAAGAACATAAAAATTGTGCAGTAACGCAAAATAAATGTTCAATTAAAAGCGCGAAAATAAATAATTTATCTGTTTGACAGATTTGCCAGGTTAGCAATATAGTAAAAATTTTATGCTATAAGTTAAAAACATGAGAATTTATAACCGATATATATCAAGAATAGATTACCACCCCTACGAAAAGTAAACATATGCTACGAAAAGTAAACATAAATTTTAATAATAAATATTAAAATTTTGGAGTTTGTTATCATGTTTTTTATGCCAAATATTGTAAAGATTAAAAATTTTTATTGAAAATCAAAATTTCAATTTTTATTTATAAATTCAGCATATATATTTACAGCATCGCTTTTTTCCTTATATATATATATATATATATATATATATATATATATATATATATATATATATATATGCATATATTTACTCTTATATATTTACAAAAAATTTAATAAATTCATTTTTTCTTTTTATGTGGTCCGTCAAGCATTTTGCGATCCTCTTGACCACCGTTTGTTAATTGTGGTACTCCATCAACTGTTTTTTTAACAAGCTTATTGTTTTCATATACTTCTACTGTCTCTTTACCATTTTCGATAGTTTTTTTAGTTGTGACAGATCGACCATTTACTATTTTAGTTGAAGTTGAGGTAGATTTAAACGAAGCACCTAAAATAAATTCATTATATATTTATTTTGCCACATAATTTATGTTGCGCATAAAACTATGTGGCAAAATGTGTTGGAAACAATCAATATAAAAATATTTTTGATTTAAAAAAATAAAATGAAAAATTTATTTGTATATATATATATGAGAAATAAACAAAAAAAAAAAAAAAAAAATAACCTCCGCTACCAAATGAAGAACTTGAAAACGAACTAAATAAAAAAAAAAAATTATAAAAAAAGACAAATTATTCAGTGCCAATTTATTTGGAGCTGCTGAATTAACCTCTAAGTTTATGTAATGTTTGTAAAACATCATCATATATATTATCATATATATTTATGATATATCGCATCATGTAAGCTTATGTAATTCTTGTAAAATATTATCAAAGATCTCATTTAATGTCTGAATTTATACCACTAATCGGTTAAACGTGATGAAATTTATCATCTGTTTTTCGTTAAACGCTCAAAAACTACTCAATATAATCCAAAAAATCGTTAAAGTAGTTTTTGGATTAACGTTTTATTAAAGTTTTAGAATTTGATTGCGTTGAACCGATAAAAACTAATTGATAAACATGATAACTCTTTCAGTAAATCTATGCTTTAAAGTATTAAAAGCACATTAAGGAACTTACTCATAAAGAAGTCTTATCAAGTGATTTGCAAAAACCTCACAAAAAAATATCTTAGTATACCAGGAACAAATAATAGAGCATTTATTATTAAAAGGCATTTAAGAATAAAATGAAAGCCATATTAACTTAATTAGTGAGCATAACTAGTATAACTTTGTACAGGATAACTAGTGTAACTTATAACACATAAGCTGGTATGACTTTGACTTTTTTGAATTAAGAGCATGAAAGTGCAATTAAGAAATCGCAATATGTAGTGGAGAATACATAAATTGTAATTACAAATGCACAATGTAAGCTTATAGGTTATTATAAAAGGACATAAATTTAAATAAGTTAATAGTATCAAATTTAGCATTTGTATACACCAGTAATAATAGTGGAATTGAAAGATCGTTATGTTGTCAATACAATTTAAACCAAAAGTTTTTTATTAAAATAAATGTGTCAATATTTGTTCCACCATATTTGTTTACATCCACTTTTGAAACAACCAGATTCTACTTGACCGCATAAAAAACGAACAAGTTGAAAGTTGTTTACTGTGCCTAGCAAAATGATAATTGATTGACTCTAGGCCAAACTTTAGGTGTCAAATATAAGACAGGATACAGTTGGGTACACTTCTAAATTCAATCTTTATTATAAAAGATGGTTTTGAGACAAAAAAAATTAACTAATGATCAAATAGAAGAAGCCACGGATTGAAAATGTCAATTGACACTTAATTTTTTAAGTTACCACCACATTGCTAGATATTTTTCACAATTTTATAATTTTATTGATAATATATTACTATTTATTAAAAACCAGCCAGCTTAGCCAGAGGCAGATTCAGCCTTTAAAAGTAAATTAACGCTACACAATTAAAAATACAAAGAACTTTACATCATGTTGTGTTTACATTTTACGTAAACACAACAAATTTTATTATATTGCAACGCATGTATAGCTTACACAATAAACTAAACTATCAAACTATTATTATCGTTTACATTGCAAAACAAGGGCTTCATTGCATTTTTTTTTTCTATATTTTTGTTCTTAAGCTCGAGTTATCAGAAAAATCTTAGCCATGAAAACAGATAAATGGTTCGACTTAATTAACTGTTAGCTCGAACATTCGCCATTTTCGTTAGCAAATGTTCAAGCTAACGGGTGTTCAAGTTGTTTTTATGTGAAAGTATTAGTGAGGGTTCAATGGGAACTCAAAAGTAGTTCAAGTTACTGAAGTTTGAAATATACGGAGTTTGAGATGTCGGGATTTCACTGCAAGTAAAACAATTTTAATTTTATCAGTATAACTATTTGAACAAATAATACTACCATACAAAAATATTTTGTATGATTTAAAAAAATGCTAACATATTTAAACTTATCAAGATGTGTGTGACCACGGTATGTTATGTACAAACTGTTGTTTATCAACAAAAATAAATTTAAAACAAAACTATAAAATGGTTTATTTTATACTTAAATATCTGCTGTTTATTATTCACACTTCAGAGTGTGCTAGTAAAAATACCAGTTTTATAATTAAATTTTAAAAAGTAAGATTGCCACTAAAATGGTTTATTTCTATGTGGAAATTAGATATGGTATTTTTTCAAACAAATTCACATACAACAGGTGCCTGCAAGCAACTGATATTTAAGTTTTCCAAAATAAAAACATAGTCACAGAAATAATTAACAAACCAATGAAACTGTTAATTAAAGACTTTAAAAGCTGTAAATAATAACTCAGATGAACAGCAAACCGTTTGCAAAAAAAATAAAGATTACAACCTTACAACAATGAGATAAAGAGAAGTTTGATAGCTAAAGCAAGTTTTGTAAATATATAGTAAAAATGTTTCCTAATAAAAAGTTATTGTAAAATATTATACATAATATATACATAACATGTGTTAATAATATTTTTTATATATTAAAAACAAATTTACAGAAAATTATTTACCTTCCACTGCTAAAAAAATCATCATTACTAAACCCACCAAAACCACCAAATCCACCTAAGTTACTTCTGGTTGAAAATGGATCACGAGAAAATAAATCAGCACCAGCGCCTCTGCTCGAACGACCACCACCAGCAGAGTGGTGTCTTCGACCTTCAAATTAGTATATATGTATTTTGATTAAATTTTTGATATCATCATTGTTATCAAAAAACTATATTATTTTATACATGCTATAACCATTTTTGAATGAGTTAAAAACACAAATATAAATTATACTATTATTAAAGTATATTTATATTTAAAATGTTTTAAATTAGGAAGAGTTCAAATATTAAATATACAGAGTGGTTTAGCATTAAATTTGAAAGTCTATTTAATTTTATGCTGTACTTGATACTAATAACATATTAACCAAATATATATCACAAATAATATTGATAATAAAGTATAGTATGAAAAAGTACTGTATATATCATAAATATAAAGATTGCATCAAAAAAATGAATTGTCTGTTAAAATATTTGAAATTTTATTTTTTTAGATATCTTATCAAGTATTGTTTTAAGAATTTATTTCAATATATTTATTGTGTATTGGTGATACACAATCAATATGAGAAAAGATTACTACATCTGTCCAACAACATCCGTGGAGTAGTGAAATAACATTCGCACATTTTTGTGTAAGATCAAGATCGGACGTAGTTACATCCAAAAAAAATCAGATGTGTAATTACATCTGGTTAAAATAATGCATTTTTAAATTACTTTTTTCCGGATGAAATTACATCCGAAACAAATCAGAAGAGTCATCTGGTTAAAAGTGTTTTTTTTTTTAATTATCTTCGCTTCCAACAAGGCTGCAAGCAACCACTAAGTTGCGTTGGAAGTTACTGGAAAAGAAAAGATGAAGATTGTAGAGCAAGATAACAATTGACAGACAACTTAAAAGATTGCAAATTATATGAATCAGGAAAGTATAATGAAGGAAGCGAATTCCAAAGAACTCATATTCGAGGAAAAAAACTAAAGGAATAAGAGTTTTTGGAGCACTTAGAAACAGTAACAGAAAAAGGATGAGACTTAATTGAATGACGAGTAACACGAGAATGAATTTTTGTAGATGGCACAAGAGACGCTAGCTCTTTAGAGAAGTGCCCATTATAGTATTTGTAGAAAAGAGAAAGAGAAGCAACATAACGACGATGTGACAGAGGTTGAAGGTTGGCTGCAAGAGCAGGTCCAACTATGTTTACAATGCGTTTTTGCACCTTGTCTAAAAGAGAAAGGGGATCATTAGAAGATCCACCCCAGATATGGCAACAGTATTCCATACAAGGCCGGATTTGAGATTTATAGAGACAGAGAATAGAATCCAGAGTAAGAAAGTGACGAGCTCGATAAAGAGAAGCAACTTTAGCAGATGCTAATTTTGCAACGGATTTGATATAAGGTTTCCAAGAAAGATCAGATATAAGAGTTAATCCTAGAAGATGAAGGGTAGGAGACTCATCGAGTACATTACCGTTCATAAATATAGGAAGGTCTAAACTATTGCGATAACGATTGGCCGAAAAAAATTGAGTTTTATCTGAATTAAAGTTCAACAGCCACTGTGAGCCCCATGCTGTAGCAGAAGTGAGATCCTTTTCAAGCTCAGATGCACCCTGCAAGCAATCAGAGGAAGTTGGCTTCTTATCGTGACAAGAAAAAATGGTAGTATCATCAGCGAACAATGCCACCTTAGATGTGAGAATATCTGGAAGACTGTTAATGTAAATTAAAAAGAGTATAGGGCCAAGGATTGAACCTTGGGGAACCCCTGAGGTTACAGAATAAGAAAAAGAGTGCTGTCCATCAAGGACAACTTTTATACTACGATGGGAAGGGAAGGATTCAATTATCCTAAAGATGTTTCCAGATACACCGTAAGAAGAAAGCTTATGGAGAAGACCAGCATGCCAATCTTTATCAAACGCTTTAGAAATGTCAAAAGCAATGGCTTTAACCTCTCCACCTTTATCTAATGCATGATAAAACCTATCGGTTATTACTGATAGCAAATCAGCGGTAGAATGAAAAGATCAAAATCCATATTGATGATCAGAAATTAAGTTATAAGATTCGAGATGAGAGATTAAGTGTTTGTTAATTAAAGATTCAACAACCTTGCTTATGATAGGAAGAAGACTAATGAGACAGTAGTTAGACAAATCGGATCGCTTTTCAGAATTTTTAAAAATAGGGATAACAGATGCTGCTTTCCAGCAGGCTGGAAAACAAGACTCTGATAAGCACTTGTTAAATGGTTTTGAAAGGATAGACGACAGCTCCGGAGAACACTTCTGCAAGACTATAACAGGTATGTTGTCCGGGCCGCAAGCTGTAGAAGAGTCTAAGCGGGAAATCACTTTAGATACAGAAGCTGGAGTAATACGAATGTCGACCAACGGATCAACCTGTTTGACGGCTATACCAGGTAGAACGCAACTAGTGGCATCAAGAGATGATATTGATGAAAAGTTTTTGGCAAACAATTCAACTTTGTCTTTAGGTGAGGTGACAAAGTCTGAACCGTACAAAAGAGGTGGAATTACAGACTTGCCCTTATTATTGATACTATTAAAGATTCTCCAGAAGTCACGAGAGAATAATTTTTGTGATGAAATACAAGATTTCATGATCTGAGAATAGCGGGCTTTAGCATTAGACAAAACCTTTTTACAATGGTTCCTAGCAGTAATAAACAGACGTCTGTTTTCTGGAGAATTGTTTTGCTGATAGATATGGAAGTAATGGTTTCAACTGGCAATTGCAGCAGCACAATGTGAAGAAAACCATGGAGAAGAGTGAGGCTTGACCTGGAATTGTCAAGAGGGAATAAAGGATTCCATGCCAGCCTGAATCCACGAAGTTATGTAAGAAGCACATTTGTCAACAGGAAGACGAAATATCCAGGGGTCATCACAAAGAAAATCTACCCAGGGGCCATCACAAAGAAAATCACAGAAAGAGTCCCAGTCAGCTATAAGGTAGTTGTAAGATGTACAATGATAGGGGGATTCTGATGGTAAAGAAGAATGAGACAATAGTTTTAGAGAGACCAAACCATGATCAGAAGCACCTAAGGGTGAGTGTGAAGAAACAGAGCACAGGATCAGAAACAAGACATAAGTCGAGTAGAGAATGTATATGATTCAGGTTGTCTGGAAAGCGAGTTGGAAAGTTGACTATTTAAGTTAGGGATTGAGAAAGACAAAAGTTGTGGGCCTTAATGCCTGCAGAGTCACTGACACTAGAGCCAAGCCATTCGGTGTGATGAACATTAAAGTCACCGACAACAACAATATTGGCTGATGGATAAAGAATGAGGGCTTCGTCAATATAATCAGAAATAACATCAAGAAGAGTGCAGTCTTGAGATGAGGGAGAGCGATATAGAACCAAGAGAAAGGTGATAGAGTGAAGCGGTGCTACATGAAAACACATAAAAGAGTAGTCTGTGGATTCAAACCTAGTTTCCGTACAAATGGGTGAATTCTTACGAATGTAAATGCCTAGGCCAAGCATGTGACTATTGGAGTCTTTACAAATTAAAGGAAGATAACCATCAACACTAAGATCACAAGATGAACTCAAATGAACTCAAAAGCTGAACTCAAACTAGTCTCACAAAGAGCAAGTAGGTCTGGTGAACTTTGCAAAAGATAAGACTCAACAAAAGAAAAGTTTCTTAGAAGACCACGGAATACTGGTGAATGATAGGTTTAGCGAACTTGGTGATGACTGTGGTTTTTTGTGTTTTATAGTTTTTGTTACTTTATTTATTTTTATATTTGTTAAAGAACTTGACTCGAAACATAGATAGTACTCAGTACACTGTTTTATAGCCCAAGCAATTGCCTCATTTCTTTTAATAAACCCTAAGCCGTAACAAAGGGCTCCAATGTGGCCTTGGCAATGCACACCAAAAGTACAAACAGGGACACCATCCATGCGCAACATGGCACTGTTAGTACTTTGATATTTTTCAGCTGTTGATGGATTCAGCCTCTCTGAGTGCTACCACAGAGTTCGGGAAACCTGACTACCAGCCGGCCTCAGAACCATAAAACTGAGTTTTAGAGCTGTACCCTCATTAGGAGATAATAGAATGAGTTGCCTAGTCATAAAAACAGAGACACAAGCAAAACCCATGCATCAAGTCAAGAAGATCCAGCGTTCAACATCCTAAACTGGAAGCAATGTGTTAAAAATACATCTGCGCCAGCCTAATATATGAAAAAGGGGTGCGAGGCTGGATAACAGATAGAATCTGTTTACCCCTTAAGTCTTTGCCTAGGAGGCCTTCTAGGAGACAGCAGCCGGATGCATTTAACATCTGCCCAAGATAAGCATTTTTATCGAGACATCATCTCTAGCCTTTACTCAACCAAAAGCCCAAAGGCTTTTGGTTGAGTAAAGGCTAGAGATGATGTCTTATGTCGGAATCGGCATCTCCAAGCCTTTGCCTAAAAAGGCATATCCTACAAGGCAGCAGGACATGAAGCAGATTGTACTGGGTTACATGTTACCAGTAGCAGGATAAACCTGACCTGACCATAAAATAATGTATTAGTAAAAAAAAAATTCCGGATGTAGTTACATATATAAGTTACATATATAAATATTATATTATATAAGTGCTGCTACATTGACTGACAAATAGCCTGACTCGCAACAGAGTGCTGCTACATTGACTGAGGGTTTGGTTTGGGCAGAGAGTCTATCAAATAATTAAAAAAAAAATTATTATGCTTAAAATAATGCATTATAATATATTTTTTTGGCGGATGTAGTTACATTCGAAAAAAATCAGGTGTAATTTCATCTGGTTAAAATAATGCATTAAAAAAAAAAAAAAAAAATTTGGATGTAGTTACATCCGAAAAATCTACAGATATAGTTGCAGGGATGTTATTATACATCAATGAAATTTGGGATGTTATTGCACGGATGTTATTATACATCAATGAAATTTGGAATGTTGTTGCACAGATGTTATTATACATCGATGAAATTTCAGATGTTGTTTTTAAGGATGTTATTATACATGGCAAAAACGGATGTTATTGCCCTGACCTAATCAATATCACTAGTTCACCAATACAC